TATCTTCAGTTTCCTTCAAGAGATTTTGTCAGGTTTCAAAAGAATTTTTAATTTCCTGGATATTTGTTTGAATCTGATTAATGCATTCTAATTCTTTCCTATATTGTTCTTTCAAGGTTTCCATCATTTTTTATGTTCCTCTTTTTAAAAAATCTGTCTTCTTTAGATATACTGAGTAATTCTTTCACTATGGTTACAATTTTTTTCTTTACTTGAGAGAGTATTTCTGATCTTATTTCCTCTATGGCCCGATGGAGTTGTTTCTTTACTTCAGTTGCTATCATTTCCAGAATTTGAGGCATATGACCTCCAATTTCTTTTATGTAAATGTTTCCTGGATTTATTGTCGGTGGGTTGGAGGTCTGAGATTGCATTTTGCTCTTTTGTTTTGACATTTTCTATTTCAAAAATAATTGTTTTCTGTGGTGATCCTTGTGAGTTTTGGTAGTAGGTGGCTATCTCACTACTATCAAGGCCTCTCCAAGGATAGTCTGTACTTCTGGGTTATCTTCTGGGTATAGGAGACTCTTAATTGGTGTCTACCCAAAGATTATCCCTTCCCAATTAATTGAGGGTGGAATATTGGCTTCTGTTTGGCTTAGTCGCCAGTCTTTGTTATAGGGCTGTGGAAAGGTTATCACCCCAGAGTTCCCCAATATTGTTAAACAAGGAAGAACTGATTACAGCAGATATGACATCCTAGCTACAATAGAACAATTTATAATAAGCACAATTTAGAAGCTGGCAAACTGTGGTAATTATTGATTTTTTACTTTAGACTATAGGAGCAAAGTCTGTCTTTATAAAACAGAAGTCATTGTAAATTAGTAATTTGTGTGCAAAGTTTTTTGCTTGTTGGGGCTGATTTATCCTGGCCTCCTCTGGATGATCCAGTTGTTAGGGTGCTCCCATCCCAAGTAGCTCCCTGAGGCTCATGAAGCTCAGCAAGTTTCACTGTTGCTCCTAAGATGGCAGGGATTGGGGGGGTATCTGGATTTGTATATTTGTGCTTCTTTTTCTTGTCCATTGTTTCCTGATATTCCTCCTTCCCACCACCCTCACATGTATTAGTTTCCATCTTCCATCAAGCCATGAAACGGATTAATAAGTCCAGTGAATGTCTTCCCATGGTTTCTCTGTGCTTTTATAAACCTAGTTTATCTTTACATACATGCATACATATTGAAAGTTATCTTAGAATGATTTAATGCCAACAAGATCATATTATGTATTATGTTTTCAGCCTGTTATTTTTTCTCAAACTAACCATCTTGGAAATTGGTGTGGATTCACTGATACAAAAATTCATTTTAGTGTTTATATAACATTGAATACAGAAGATATAGCTTTAGTTAATTCACCTATAACCATACTGTTGTCAGTATATAGCCTCTAAAGATTCTCCGTCATCTCTTTGTTTTTATCACTCAAGATTATGAAACCTTAGTCTTAGAGTACACAACACTTAGAGTCAGCAGGAAACTTGAGCAGTCTTCCCTATTATATTTTTCCAACTTTCAATAAATTAAATGTATATTTCTAATTTATACATATATACTTAAATATATATTTATCACATATATTTCATTTATATATGATAAAAAGACAAAATTTATGTAAAAATCTATACCAAGCTGCTTAATAGATTGACAAGATAAAAAATTTTCCTTGGGCTAAGGATATAGTTTATAGTCTAAACACCTGCCTGGCAAGTGCAAAGTCCATGTTCGATCCCTGGTACTGCATGCTGTGCCAGCCTGGAATCCCTAGTGTGCTATACAGGCCACTGAAACCTGGTGTGGTGGTGCACACCTGTAATCCCAGTGCTGGGGAGGCTGACACAAGAGGATCACAACAAGTCCAAGCTGCATAGGCAGACCCTGTGCCAAATAAATAAATAAATAAATAACTTTTTTTTTAAAAAAAAGAAAGCTATTAAAATGACCTCTTGAAATGGTCTTGAACAGACATCTCTCTGAAAAGGAAGAAGCAAATATGTAGACTTCTACCCTAAATTACCTGTGTTAATTTCTTACAGTTACCATTACAGATTACCCTAAATTGGATGGTTTCTGTGACAAAAATTTATTTTCTCAGTTATGGAGATTAGAATTCTGAAATGAAGGTCGTGCTGCATTCAGGGGTTCAAGGAAAGAAGCTTTTACAACTCTTGGTTCCTGGTAGCTGGTGGCATTTCTTCATGTCCTTCAGGTTCCATGTGCTGCTAGTCACCTTCTGCAATGTGTGTGTGTCACAGATCTTTTCCTTTCTTGTGCAAGTGTATCTGCCACTTGTTTTATGGTGTAGCTGTATAACTCAAGATAATTTCACCCCAAGATCTTTAACTTCAGCATGTGATATTTCTTTCAGAAAGTTACACTCACAAGTTCCAGGAATCGGCATTAGGTTGGATCTTTTCAGGTTTTCCCATTCAATCTATTACCCCTGTTGTTATCTGTCAAGGATTTGGTTGTGTTTCTTCCTCCTCAGACTATTGCATATTGAAATCCTACCCTCAGTGCCCAGAACACGACTTTTTTATGGAAATAGAGTTGTTGCAGATGTAATTAGTGAAATTAAAATGAAGTCATTTTGATGAGCTTTAATATGATTGGCATCCTTATAAAAAGGGGACAACTGGATACAAGTAAGAGTGAGAATACATATGAAGATGGAGGCAGAGCTTCAGTTTGTGCTACAAACCAAGGAGCATTGAAGATTGCCAGGAAGCCCCCATGGGTAGGCAGCATAAGGAACAAGTGCCCCCTCACAGCCTTCCTGGGGAACTTTGATCTTAGACCTTCAGCCACTGAAACTGTGAGACAACACATTTCTTTTGTTTCAGTCCCCGAGTTTCCATACAGTATTTTGTTATGGCAGTTCTAGCAAAGTAATACATTGTACATTTGTGAACCATTTTAAATGGTGATAATTAAAATATTATGGCTTGCATTCTGTAATAGTGTTATATTTTAAGCACAAATGGTTCACTCAAACTATTGTAATTTTCTACTTTAAAAAGAGCAAATACATTATTCTCATTTTGTACAATTGCTTTGGGTACATAGTAAAAATGACAATCTTTATCAACAGATCTAGAACAATGAACAGGAAATATTACTAAATTGCTTTCTGAGGAATTGTAACAATGTACTTCTGACCTGCAGTGTGACAACTCTATATAGTCCTTCTTGCCAGCACTTAGCCAATGCCACTCCAATACTGTCTCACGTTTTTTTTTCATTTTATTTTATTTTTTGTTTGTTTTTTAAATTTTTTTATTTTTTATTTTAAAGAGAATAAAAACGATACAGAATTTCAAAACAAGATGGTAGGAAATTAGCAATGGTTGTTATACTGCATATTGATATCTCCAAGGTAATTGCTCAGATTCCCAGATACAGGCATACAAAATTATCAATTAAGCATTAACTGTTACTTTCAATAAAATAGAAATTGGTACTACAGTTATCTTAGCTATCTTGTATTTGTATACATTTTCCCTTCCCTCTTTCTTTTCTCCTTTCCCCATCCCAATTGTTCTTTCCTTCTAAGCAGTTTCGTTCCCTTTCACAATATTTATTGTACCTTTCAAATTTTATTTACTCATTTAGTTTCTTACACTAGGGAGACAAGACGATGTTTACACATGTGTGTCTGATTTGAGTATGATCTCTGGTTGTAACCATTTACCTATACAAGTCTTGATTGAGTTTATCTTTCTTTATAGCCGAGTAATACTCCACTATATAAAAATACCACATTTTAGAATCCATTCTTCACTTGATGGACTTTTGGGTTGTTTCCAAGATTTAGATATGACGAACTGTGTTGCAGTAAACACGGTTGGACATATACCACTGTGGTATGATGTTGTCCCTTCTTCCAGAAAAATTCCCAGACGAATAAATGGGTCAGATGGGACTTCTAACGCTAGGGGGGTTTTTTTGGATTTTTTTTTTTTCCTGAGGAATCTCCACCCTGATTTCCACAGGGAGGATACGTTCAGATTTACTCTCGAGTGATTAAAATGTAAAACAGGGTGTGTGTGTTCAGTCCTAACTTAACCATTTCTTTCTCTCTTGCTTTCAGACAGGTTTAGCCAAAGTACCTTTAAACTACTCCTGGCTTAGGTGTTTAATAAAAGGAAACCCAGTAACACTGGAGACAAGTTTGGTGTGATTTTTCCAGGGCATTAAGTTTTCATTAGTTCCGATTTTCATGTATTAAACGTTTCTTTTAATTTGATGCCGCTTGTTGTAAGGAGAATGAGAACAACTTACAGGGCAATGACCTCCCGGTTTGGTTCTGGGCACAGCGTGTTTGGAGTTTCACCTCTCCCATGGTTTGGGAACTAGGATGGGCCCAGGCTGATTTCAGAGCGCTTCCTGGCGCGGAGCTCCACTCCAACAGGCTGCCAGGCCCCTCCCTAGGCAGCACCAGTTCTGCTTCAGATTTAATAATGACCAATTCTGCACCAGGCTGAGGAACGGAGCAGCTTTGCTTACAGCAAAGAAGGGGTGCAGGCGCAGCTGGCCCTCCGGCTCGCACCGGTGATCCTCCCGGCTCCGACCCACGTAGGTCCTCATACACACACAGCACCTGCTCTCCAGACCCGGGACGAGTAAAGCAAGGCTCGGCTCACACCACCCCCAGCCTCCGCCCCGCGGGCCCCGAGCATCCTCCGCGCGCCTCCCAGGGCCCGGCTCCGGGCTGCGCTACGGCGGGCGGTTCCCGCGCCCTGACCTAGCCGAGACCTCCTCCACCGGTGCCTTTCCACTCGTGAGCCCCGGTTTTTCTCCAGCCCGGAGACTGGCGCTTTCCGCGCGCCTCCCCTCACCGCAGATTAAAGGAGGCGAAGCGGAGGAAGCGGGCGCGGGCGCGGGTGCATGGAGGAAGCTGCAGCGTGCGCGCCCCGCGCCCGGGCCGGCCGGGCAGGTGGAGGAGGGCGGCTTCCTCCCGCCCAGCGCCCCGGCGCCCGCCGGATATATAGCGTCGTCGAGCCGAGCCGAGCGGCAGAGTCGCGGCCGGGCCAAGCCCTCGCCAACCTGGAGCGGGATCCGGAGCAGGTACCGGCGGCTCCACGCGCCCCACGCGCCGCGGAGTCCGGGCGGGGCGACCCACGGAGAGGGCGGGCCTGCGGCGGGAGAACCAGGGGCCCTGCGCCTGGGGACTTCGCCTTGGGGCCAGGGCGCGGCCTCCTGTGCCCGGGGCTGTTCCTGGAGAGCCGAGCTCACGGCTCCTGGCTTTGCGACCTTGGGGCGCGCGGGAGAGCCGAGCTCGTTCTGCCAGGGCTGATAGTGTTCGCCGTCGCCTGCCACCTGGGCACGATGGGGAGCAGGTGGCCTGCGGGAAGGTCCCCGTGCCCCCTGTGAATCCGGTTTCCTGCCAGCCAACCGAAGTCACTGAGGAGCTGCTCTCCACAGCCTTGTTCTAGAGACACTGAGTGCGCTCCGCCCGCTGCCTCCCTACTTTGTCACCTCTCCAGGCCCTGGGGTTAGAACAGCCTTTCCTCCATGGATGAGTTACCTAGTGGGAGCACCAAGGTGATCGCGCGCTGTGCGAGACTGGTGCACTCCTGCAGAACACAGCACTGTGCCAGAGCTAGCAGAGGGACCCTGGGAGGCCAAGGGGGCTTTCCTGCTTGTTAGAGGTCGTGTCCAGAGGAGTGTGATGCTCTGTGCAATGGGAATTTGAGAATTCGCCTGTGATGCTACATCACCATTTATGTGAGTTGGAGATCTAACTAGTACTGGGTAAAAACGTTATAAAGGGAGCTAATAAAATCTAAGGCAGCCACTACCTAAACTGCTAGGCAGCTTCACCTTGAAGACTAGCCATTACCGTGGGGTAGGAGGTCCAGAGAGCGCCAAGAGGTTTCCTGGCTAAGACTTAGGTGTTGGATGCGTTTGTCGTTGTGCTTCCAAGAATACAAGTCTTTGCGGGCTCCTTGCCTATTTGAGAAGGCATCTTCTGCACCTGTTTCATCATCATATTCCTACTTCATTCTGGTTTCTAACAGTGACTTATAATTATTCGTCAAATAGATATGAATAGTCATAAGCTGCCCATCCTACTGACTTTGGAGAAATCAGTGATAATTTGTATTTTCCTTAAGGGAAGTGAAGTAGGAGCCAGCCTCCAAGATCAAAAGTTTCTTAGGGTCTGAAAGTAAGGTGAATAGCTAGCTCAGTATCACTTTGGATTTTTTTTTTTTTTTTTTTTTTTTTTTTTTTTTTTTTTTGCGGAACCAGGGATTGAACTCAGGCCCTTGCATTTGCCAGGGAAGCATTTATTCCACTGAGCCATCTCCCCAGCTCAGTATCACTTTGGGATCTGTGAAGAACATTTGTAGTGAGCATCTTGCCATTTGCCTTCCTTTCTCCTTAGTTTCTGTACTTGAGCACATGTCATTTTGGTACATCTGGCTGGCCCGGAGAATCTCTTGACTGTGTGTTACTTCCCATGTGCTCATGTATGCCCACTCAGCCACCAGCAATCTCCAGGAGTCACCACAGCTGGCACATCCACCCCCAGAGCCTCCATGCCTCTGACCCTAACATCTTCCGTGGTCACTGTGGGAACATTTGTGATTCTTGAAGAAGCATTCCTAATGCATTATTTTGTTAACAGACCACTTGGAGTATCTGCTAAAACCTACTGAATATGGAAAACACACACATACTCACTGGCTTGAACTCAATTTCAAAAGTTTGAGGCCTCCAGATGTCCAGATCCTGAGCTTTGAGACTCCAGAGATCCTAGGGGAGCCAGCCTGTGGAATGCAACTCTGTAAAGGCAGGCAGGCCTTGCACTTAGCAGGGCATTGGGTCACGTGTTCTGCTGTCACTGTCTATTGTCCTAATGATTTTTCAAACAAAGGACTTGGGGGTTTCATTTTGCACTAGACATGGCAAATTCTGTCCTGGCCTTTCACTGACAAACCAGCTGTAGAATATGTCTCATAAAGGTGTTGCCTGAGCCTTCCCACCTTGAAGGTGAGTTCTCCACTCCATACCTGGACTGCAGCTGCTGAGTCAGGTGCCTGTGGACAAGTCTTTAAGTTTATTTTCAGCTCAGTCTCCACATTGACAATTACAGACAACAGACAGTAGGTTCTATTCTATTTACTTTAAAGGTGGTATCCAGAGATAATAATGATAAAAAGAGATTGCAACTGTTAAAAAGAAGTCTACTGACCTTAAATAGTTCATGTGTACAAAGATGCTATCTTAAAGGGCTTAACCTTTCTACTCTGTTTTTTAGAAGCAGCTTGAGGAGGTTGGTTGATTATGCATATTGATGGGCTGTAGAACCTTTGTAGTCCTCATATCTTGGCAGATAGAAAGTAAGAAGTAGCTAAGTAGTAACATTCAGTGTTTTACTATTTCTTAAATATATGTGGAAAGGATCAGAATTGACCATCAAAAATAAAGTATAACTACTTGGATACCAAAGACACTTCCACAATTACTGTTTGGGTCTAACTCATCCACAAGTTGAACAATATTTGAAATTGTCTTCAGGAGGTAGCCCTCTTTGCTTCATTTAATTTTAGAAATTTTTATGTTCAAAATCTTGATCAAATCACCTTTTCTAATATTCTCAGAGATACCTAACCAGTGTGAACTCCACTTTGTCACTTGACAGATTGCCTGTGACATTTTAAGTCTCTAACTTGTGCCACTCCCTTTCCCTGATGTCAGGATGCATCTATAGCCCACTCTTCCTCCCAACATGGTGGAAACACACTCAGAAGCCTTGAGGAGGAAAGCAAAGTAAAAGGCAATGCATCAAACTCAAGAATCAAGGTGTTCTATCGAGCACACTAAGCAGGGCAGTGCCAGGCACTCTCGGAAGGGAGGCACAAGGTCATGAATTCTACATGCTTGTGACATCATTGCTGATGCAAAATATGAACATATATGATGTTAGTTAACCATAGCAAGTAAGTTATTTTGAGGCAATGGAAGAAAGTGCAGCGAGTTCCCAGACAAAAAAAGAATAAAATAAGTAGCAATGAAAAAGAGGACAATCCTCAGGGAACTACAGTTGCTTTTGAGGAGACAGGAGATGAAACTAAGAAATTCTCAGTGCCTGGCTTTGTTCATGTGCTACATAACTGTTAGCCTCACTGTCTGACCAAACAATGTGGCAGTTTTTTCACAATTTAGTGTTGAGGAAAGCAGATGTGTTCCCTGTCTTTTTTGGAATTCACAAATGTTTACAATAATAATATTGTAAACATTCACAAATGTTTACAATAAGCATATAATAATAAATTTCAGGTATTACTTTAGGGAGAAACAATATTATCACAAAGAGCAGGACTACCAACTCAGATCTGGTGCTCTAGGAAGGGAGTTTTGATGAAGAAAGATACGGATTGATACTGTGAAGAAGCACAGGTTTAGGGTCACAGGCAGAGGGTTCAAGACAGGTAGAGAGAAGTATGCTGGATAGAGGAAATAGCAGAGGGGAGGCCTGAGGAAGGAAAAGGCAGAGGGGTCAAGGGCACAGGAGCCCGTCAGGTGAGAGTATGCTGCAGAGAGGTTGGATGTGAGTACTGTGAGGTAGACACAAGGGCCGTCTGGCAAAATCACAGTCTTCAGAAGGGTTTTGAGTGCTGTTTTGGTAGAAAGCCATTGAAGATTTTGAGCCAGAGGACCCTAATTTGCATTTTAAGAAAATGTGTATGAAGTCAATACAGAGAATGTACCCAAGGGACAAAGTCTTGAAAGTAGGCATATGAAGACAGCAGTGCCCACAAGGGAGAGGCAGGGCAGTGCAGAGATTGAAGTGCAGTCATTTGAGAATATAATTGATCCAGCTGGGTGAGATTGGGTGTGAGACATAGTCAAGCTAAAGAAGTTGAGGATGAATTCATTAAGAAAAAACCACTGCTATATATTTATATCAAAAAGAGTAGGTCCATGGGCATGTGATTTAGATGCCCCCAAAACTAAATAATAAAGCAAAACCAATAATCTTGGTTAGTGCATCTGGACAGTGTATAGCTATTGTGATGGAGGGAAACAGGGCCAGAGGAAATGCTCATTTTCCATACTGTCCTGTGCACCGTTTAAAGTATTGTTTGGGCCATACTTGGATCACACACCCTTTACAAAGGCTGTCCCCAGCGCAGATTCTGTTCCCTGATTTCCTACCTTCAGCATGTGTATGGTATGTTAAGTCAACTTGCCATTGCTGTGATAAAATCAACTTAAAGGAGAAAAGACTTTTGTTCACAGCTTTGAAGGTTTTGGGCCATGAATGTTGGCTGCATTACTCTGAGCTTGAGGTGAGGCAGAGCTTCTTGGGAGAGGGGTGGTACAGAAGAGCGGGAGAGGGGTAGTGGAGCAGAGGCACTCACTTCATGGTAACAGGGAAAGAGAGAGCAGGGAAGGGGCAGGAAGAGGATATAGTACCTTCCAGGGGACAACCCCAAAGGACCTGATCTGTTTACCCAGGCCCCACCCTGTCTCCATCACATCCAGTAACCTGTCAAATTATAAACTTGTCACCCAGTGAATACATTGGTGAGGTGACCACCATCTGGGTCCAGGCTCTTCCCCAAAGCCCCACCTCTGAACTCTGCCCCATGGGGCACAGGCGCCTTAACACACCCAAATCCTGGCAGGCTGAAAACAGTAGAATTTCATAAAATGACAAAAACTAATGAAGAAAAGTCTGACCCTCATCCAAAGGGCCGCTCTGGAGCTTAATCAATCCCCTGCTTAAAACCTGCCTCTTCATTCTCAGCTATATCAGTGTTTCCCCAAAAACAGCTGTGGTTCATTAGTTTATTGGAAAATTCATTATAGCTAAGTGAAGGGAAAAAAATCTTCCCTGATTGTCTAACTTCTGAAAACACTTAATATAATCAACTTAACAGTTTTATTGCAAGAGTCCTCAGAGGCTTTAATGCACTGTAAGAATCACCAAAAAAGGAGCACATTTTATGTCACATTTCCTAAACTTGACCTGAAAGTGACTTTTCAGGTAGAACATCTAGCAGAGTCAGCATTCAGCACTTGCGTCCTTCAGGAAGTGCTGCCCTGTATTAATA